TCCTGCTTCTGCTTCATCTCTCATATTCTCTCCCCCCCCCCCCTCCTCCTCCTCCTTCTCTTTTCTCTTCTTCTATCCCTCTTCCTATTTCTTCTCTTCCCACTTCGAAATAAGCCTTAAGAGATAATGAAAAGGTTTACTGAAGGGACTGGTAAGGCCTCCAAATAGTGTTTTCTTCTCTCTCTCTCTCTCTCTCTTCCTTTTCCATCTCTCTCCTCTCTTCTCTTTCCCATCTCTCCTCTTTCTTTCTCTTACTCTACATTGCTATCTGTCCTCTCTTTCTCTCTCCATTCCCATTGTTCTTTGTTCACTCTATCTCACTTTCCCTGTCTCCTTGACTCCTTTCTTTCTCGTTTGTCCATCTCTTTCATTCTTTTTTTTTCTATTCCTTCATTTCTCCACTCTTCTCTCTCTCTCTATCTTTTGCCATCCCTCCATACCTCCTTGTCTCTCTCTCTCTCTTTCCTTCCCTCTCTTCCCAATCCTCCTTTTCTTTCTCTCCTCCACTCTTCTCTCTCTTCTTCATTACATCTCCACACCTCCTTTTCCCTTTCTCTTCCTCCTTCACTCTCTTTCTCTCTCTCTCTCTCTCTCTCCTTCTCCCCCAAAGGACTGAGGCTGTATCTACAATAGTGTTAAATGTACTATTAAAACCTGCATTTACAAAGTGACATGCAACTTGAGTCCCTAAAACAAGGCAGTAGGTTAAAGATTCAAATCTTTTTTTCAGAAATTTACAAAAAAAGGTAATATTTATAGTTAATGATAAATGAATTGATTTTAGAAAAGTTTTTTTTTTTTACTTTTTTTTACTTTTTTCATTCACTTTCTCATTAGTATGTACTTTGGGAACAAGAGGAAAAAATATATATGTGTTATAATTAATGAATGATTTTTTTTTCTTCCTTTCCATAAAGAAAGTGTTTTGTTTTGTTTGTCTCTTTATGCTTTATACAATGATGGCTTCATGTAAATTTACACATGAGTGTTATTTTGTAGACTATATACTGCACACACCCATGTACAGTAGTGTATTTTTTTCTTTTTTTTTCAAATGCTTGTGAAGTGAATTAATGAAAAAAATACAACCACAACAGAGTCAGCTACATTGATCGTAGACAAAAATATATGTGTATATATCTATATTCTAAAATTTGAAAATCTTTTTATTTTAGTGCTATTCTACGGAGAAGAAAGAAAAGAAAAAATAGCAATAACAATAATGAGAGTTAAATATCAATGCAATGAACAACTTGTAAGAAGGAAAATAAAATAAATATCTTAGTAAGAAAAAGAAACGAAAAGGACAACTTTTTCAGTCATGTATTTCTTGTTATTCTTATTCCTGTTTCATCTTTTCCTCTCTTTTTTCCCTTCTGATTGAAACAAACCGATAGTGAAATGAATAAAAATGGAATAATAACAGTAATAATAATCATAATGATAGCAACAATTATAGGAATGATAAAAAAATAATAATAACAAACACCACGTAATAATATAAAATAAAGATGATAAAGAATAGCAAGAAAATCCTAAAAATCCTCCATCACATCTTAAATAGCAAAGAGAGTGACCTTCCCTAGGGATCGACAGAGGCCCAAAGCGGTCAGGATTTCTCTCCAATGCATGTGTTAACAGCCTCATCACGACTGTTAACAAGGAAAATCATAGGTATTATAATGACCTTCTTTTGAATACTCTTTTCTGTATTTTTTCTTCATTCTTTTTAAATTAAATTTTGTTTATCAGATACGGTGACCTTTTTTTCCTGTTTTCTGTGGTTTTAGTAAAAGTGTTATCCAAGAAAATTAGGCATATGCTCTTTGGAGAAAATAATCATATATTTAGCAACTCTCTAGTGGTTTGTTAGGAAAGTTAGGAATTATAGAGCAAAAATAGCTGACAAATAGATGACAAAAAGAGAAAAGAAAATTGTATTACAGACAAACAAAAATATATGGGTATATATATATAAATCTTTATTGAATAACAACCAAAAAAAATTGGGGAAGACGAGATATCCTTAATAAGAACTGAAAAAAAATATAAATAAACATAAAAATAATAATAATACAAAATAAACACAAATAAAATTAAAAAATCAGAATAAAAAAGAAAACGGAGACAGGGGGGAAAAAAAGTCTCGTTTTCTTCCCCGTCCAGTGGAAGGGGACGGGAAGAGAGCCGCCGAGAGTGTCTCCAGCTGACGGCCAGGGAGCTCTCGACGGAAAAAAGGAACATCTCGCCCAACACAACCGCGAAAAACGGCCGGAGTCGCGTCCCAGAAAGTGATACAGGATAACACAACCTTGGAGAGGCCTTGGCTTGACAAGAGATTGTTCCGTACACTATCACTCTCAAAGACAGATGATGGGAGGTTTTGGTGTATGTACACATACACACACGGATGTATGTACAGTTAATGTGCTCATATAAATACATACGTACGTGTGTGTGTGTGTGTGTGTGTGTGTGTGTGTGTGTGTGTGTGTGTGTGTGTGTGTGTGTGTGTGTGTGTGTGTGTGTGTGTGTGTGTGTGTGTTCATTTACATGTGTGTTCATATACATGTGTGTTCATATACATGTGTGTTCATATACATGTGTGTTCATATACATGTGTATTCATATACATGTACGTTCATCTATGTACACATGCATGTACTTGTAAAGTATGTATGCATGTACGTGTGTAAGAAAGTAGCTCTTTGTTCCTAGTTAACAAAATAAAAGGATGGAAGCCTCCATCGGCAGAGATCATTTACACAGCAGGCTTTCCATCGTCTGACTAAAAATAGACACAATAATCATAACAAAAGAAACCTTAGGAAACACAGGATGAGCAGACATCCTCTCAAAGAATCCACGTGTTAAAAAATAACCATACACTGGAACATACAGAAATAAAAATCAAAATAAAAGAGGAAAGTAAAAAAATGATAATAATAATAATAAAACAGATTCAAACTGTTCTTTAACTACAAGCAAACTGTGACTCATTTAAAAGCACAGTTATTATTCCATGTCCACTGTTTGCAAGCACATTTTTTTTTCACTTTTTGTGTTATTATATTTTTTAAGACATCTTAAAAGCACAAAACTGTGTTATCTATTTTCTTCCTTTTCTTCTTCTTTTCTCTCTCTCTCTCTCCCTCTCTTTCTTTTCCTCTCCATTTCTCTTCTCTGACTAAATCTTTTTTTCCTTTTTATCTTTCTGTCTTTCTCTCTCACTTTCTCTTTTCTATCTATTTCATAAAAAAGTTCAAATAATTGAGATGAAGACGATGAAGATGCTGGTGATAAATGAAGGTGAAAACAAAGAATAATAATAATAATAATAATGATAATAATAGCAATAATAATAATGAAAATTATAATAATAATGAACACTAATACCGTTCTCTCTCCTTGATCTTTGATTCAAAATTCGAAGAAATACAGATTCTATTTCTCTCTCTCCCTCTTTCTCTCTCTCTCTCTCTCTCCCTCTTTCTCAATTCCCTTCCTCAGTCGCACCTTCTCCCTTCCCATGACGAGTAATTGGTGAGTAATATCTCTCTGGTGAGTCAGTGAGTGAAGGTGCTTATAAAAAGGTCGTTAGGCAGAAGGTCATTTGTTCTTTAGTCTTGGAGAACAAATTGCATAATGAGAGTTGTAATAATAAAAAAATATATAATAATAATCATAATAATGATGGTAATATTAAGGATGATGATGATGATGGTGGAGGTGGTGATAAGTATAATGACAATAATAAAGTTACTTACAATAATAGACATAACAAAGATTTTTAAAAAATATTCATAACAGTGATAGTAATTTGACAATATTATCTATCAGTCCAAGTGATCTATCGACATTTCTCAGCGTCATTTCTCTTATTTTTTTTTGAAGAGATAAGAAGGGGAAAGAGGAGGAGGAAGCAACCCATGGGCACGGGTTTGGGTATGGCATCGGGGGGGGGGGGGGGGATGCTGTCTGCCCCTTGCTAGCACCGAGTTGAATTGCAATGGTGAGGTTTGTTTGTTTGTCTGTCTGTCTCTCCACGAATCGGGTGAGAGAGATTCGAGTATGCTGCCTTTTCCTCCTCCTCCTCTCTCTCTTCCTCCTCCCACTCCCTTACCTCTCTTTCCCTTCTTCGTCTTCCTCCTACACCTTTACCCCTTTTTCTGCCCTTCCTCCTCTCCATCTTTTACTGTTTCCTTCCACCCTCATCAAGAAAAAAACAACTTTCTTTTAAAAAGGCAACGGCGTCACAACCAGAAGATGGAAGGAAAGCCCTCCTTACCCCCCCCCCCCAACCTATCTTCCTTTTTTCCCTTCCTCGATTAATTAACTCTCTACCTACCCTCTTCCTCCCCTCTCCCCCCTTTCCCTCGTCCCTCCTCCCCTCTTCCCTCCTCCCTCTCCCTCCCTCCCCCCCTTCCCTCCCCACCCCACCCCTCCCCCCCTTCCCTTTAGCCAACCTACCACAACCTTTGATTTCAGGATGACGTCACAGCATTCCTCTGATGTCATTCCAGAGGATTCTGAGGTCACATGAATTTCAGACATGTGTGTTTGTGTTTCCTTTTGTGGGACGGGAGGGAAGGAGGCAAGGGGGGAAGGGAGAGGGGAAAAGGAGAGGGAGAGGGGAAAAGGGAGAGGGAGAGGGAGGGAAGAAAGGAAGGAGAGAGAGAGAGAAAGAGAAAGAGGGGTGTAGAAAAAAAAATCAACAATGTATTTTATTCTCTTTTTACCCAAATTTCCTTTTTTTATTCCGCATTTTCTCTCACCTCTTCTCCTTGTTTATTGTTGTCTCTTCCTCCTTTCCTTCTCTTTCCAATTCTATAAACACAACGGAGGAGAGAGAGAGACAGAGACAGAGAGAGAAAGATTATTCTAAAAAGAAGAGTATCATCTCAAATACATTTTTTGTGTATTTTTGTAGTTTTTTTTTGTCCATTTTATTTTTATATAGATATTTTTTTTTAAAGATACATAAAATATACTTTCATAAGTCTTTGGAAACACTTTATTTTTTTAAATCCTTTCTTATTTTTCTAAATAAAAAAAAGACTTGGTGGATTGTGCACCCAGCATCATGACAAGATATATATATATATATATATGAAAAAATCCAAATTAAAAAAAAAGAAAATAAGAGAAAAAGAAGCACATGGTAGTAGAAGCAACACCGCCCTCGCCCCAAAGGACTCGCCGCCGATGCGTCCGCCCGCTGCTCCTTCCTCCTTCCTCCTCCTTCCTTCCTTCCTTCCTTTTTTCCTTCCTCCTTCACTCAGTCTCCTCCTCCTCCTCCTCCTTTTTCTTCTCGTCTCTTCCTCCTTTCGTTCTGCCTCCTCTTACTCCTTCTCCTCTTTCTTTCGCTCTCGCCTCCTCCTCCTCCTCCTCTTCCCTCCCCCTCCCCCCCGCATCCTAGCCCGAGAGAAGTCCTTCGCGGCGCCAGCCAAAGCCCCGCCTCTCCTGCGAGTCCTACAAGCTCCGCAGGCTCTCCTCCTCCTCCTCCTTCATCTCCTCCTGCTCCTCCTCCTCCTCCGTCAGCACCATCCGTCGCCCGCACGCGCGCTCGCACGCCCGCACGCGCCGAGGCGACGCCCTACTGTATGACGCAGCAGTTGCACTTGCTTTTCTTCCTGATGACGACGTGCTCGACGTGGGCGGGGTCGGTGGGCGTGACGGTGGCGTGCGTGACCTCCACGGTGCCCGGCAGCGACGCCTCGGGCGCCGCCGACCCGTTGGCGCCCGCCTTGGAGGGCGAGGCCCCGCCCGCCGACGGGGACGTCGCGCCGCCCTTGGAGGCGCCGTCGGCGGTGGGCGAGTGGGTGCGGGCGGCGTTGGCGGGCGTGGCGTGCAGCGCCTGCGGCTGGTGGTGGGTGTCGGGGCGCGGCAGGAGCGGCTCGGCGGCGACCTCCTTGTCGTGGGATGGCGAGGACGCCTCCAGGGGCGCCGCGCCGTCCAGCGCGTCCTCCGGCGGCTGCTGCAGCGGCCGCCCCGACTTGATCAGCTGCACGATCTCGTCGGCCTCGCGCGAGATGTCGCCGTCCGGGCGGAAGGGGTTGTCGCGGCCGCTGTCGCTGCTGCAACAAGGGCGGCGGTTAGGCGGGCATGGCAGAAAGGGCTCGTGAAATTAAATTAAATCTGAACAATATCATCATTATCATAGCTCTCACTAAGGCAGAAAAACCCACAAGGCACAAACCGCTGTCTCGCTTTACAATAAAGCTGGTTTGTGCTTGCGGGCTCTTCCAACACGGGAGAGTAATTCACCTTTCAGCTATCATTATCAGCATTATTACTATCTTCATTATAGTTGCATGAAAAGGACTATACAAAATTCTGACTCAAAATGACATTACTTAATGGTATATCATATATCATATAAAAAATGTGGCTCCCAAAAAAAGGAAGAAAATGAAAAAAAAACAAAAATCTAATTTTAAAATCCCGTAGAAGGAACCAGGAAACACAGTTACCAACAGGAAAATAATAAGCATTTCTGAACCGGTAATCACGAAGCAACAACCAGACAAACCAAACATCCATCCCTTTACAACGCAACACTTCCGTCTGCGAAACCCCGATCCGGAGGGCGCGCGCGAGCAGGAGCGACAGGCGAGAGCGAGCCACGGCCCCCGCGCGCCCACCCAGCCGCCCGCGTCTCCTCGAACAAATCGCCAGTAAAAAAGAACAACGATGGCTGGTGCAACGTCCAAGCCTGGAATCCATATACAATGAAAATACTGCAATCATGTAAAAACAACAACCCAACATCAACAATTGCACGATTGCACGCGACAGAAATAACATTTGTTCCTTAACTTCAAATCAAAGAAAATAAGCAATGCATGAATAGTCAATTTTCAATGTTATTGTTTTCACATATGATGGGATGCGAGGGGGGGGGAGAGGGAGAAAGGGAGGGAGGGAGGGAGAGGGGGAGAGGGAGGGAGAGAGGGAGGGAGAGGGGGGAGGGGGAGAGGGAGGGAGGGAGGGAGAGAGAGGGGTGAGGGGGGGAGGGAGGGAGGGAGAGAGAGGGGGGGGGAGAGGGGGAGAGGGAGGGAGGGAGAGGGGAGAGGGAGGGAAAGAGGGAGAGAGCTGGAAGGAGAGGGAGAGGGAAACGGGGAAGTAGGAGGGATGGAGAGAGAGAAAGAGAAAGAGATAGAGAGAGAGAAGACTCTTATGTAGTCCACAAAGAGAAAATGATTTCCGAGATGTTCAACCCCTTCAGACGAGACACGGCACCTCGAAATAAAACAAATATGACACGAACAATCTCGACAGCAATTATCCAGAGCAGAGATCAACCAATTCCCAAAATTCCAGATTCTACCCGGAAGTACATCTGGATTAGTAATTATAAATCCTTCTGGCCTCCAGCTGTGCCCAGCCCGCCCGCGGATGTTTCCCAAGCAACCCACTCAAACAAACTCACGTAAAACGCACCCAAGCGAGCCACTCAAACAACCAACCTTCACAACCCACGCAAACGACCCACTCAAACAACCAACCTCAACAACCCACGCAAACAATGCCGACCGAAACAACCCACGCAAACAACCAACCTCAATAACCCACGCAAACAACGGACCGAAACGACCCACTCAAACAGCCACTCAAACAAGCCAGGGCGGCGGCGCCTGCCCGCGACCCGGCACCTTTAAGCCGCACCAACTGACCCTTCTGGGCGACTTGCAGAGCAGCCGCGGGCGGAGACGGCGAGTAGCCCTGACACCTGGACTACGCGGCTGACAACATCTTCGGGCTGACTACAAGGGAGGGAGAATGGGGGAGAGAGAGGGAGAGTGAAAGAGAGGAAGGAGGGAGGAAGGGAGGGGGAGAGGCGTGGGTCCTTCTTCTCCCTCTCCTCCCTCTCCTTCTCTTTCTCTCCCTCCCTCTCTCTCTCATACGCATTTTCTCCCTTTCTTAATAGTTCTCGCTCTCGATTTCTTTGCTACTTTCCTCCCCCTTTGCTTCACCTACCCTTTCCCCTTCCCTCTCTCCCCTTCCCCCCTTCCTTCTTTCTCCTTCTCCCTTTGCCACTTTTTCACTCTCTCCTCCCCCCCCCACCTTTCCACCCTTCTTCTCCCTCTCCCTCTCCCTCTCCCCCTTTCCCACCCTCCCTTTCCCCTCTCCCCTCTCCTCCCCCTCCCCCTCCCTCTCTTTCCCTTCTCGTCCTCCCTCCCTCCCTCCCTCCCTCCCTCCCTCCCCTTCCCTCTCCTCCCTCCCCGTCCCTCCCTTTCCCCTCTCGTCCTCCTCGTCCTCCTCCTCCTCCCTTCTCCCTCTCCCCCTCAACACTAACAAGCTCGTGGCGACGCGGCTTCGTTATTACGCGACGAAGCACAAAGCAAAAGGCGAGAAAGAGAAACAGAAAGTACAAAGAACGTTGCTCAGACGCCCTTGCCTTTTGTGCAGAGCGCGGGTGTCTAGAGCAATGGGGGAGGGGAGGGGAGGGGAGGGAAGGGGAGGGGAGCGACGGGGAGGGGAGGGGAGGGGAAGAGGAAGTGTTAGGAGGAAGGGGAAGGGAGGGGGGAGGAAGAGGAGGAGGAAGAGGAGGAGGAGAGGGGGGGGGGGGAGGAGGAGGAGGGGAAGGGGGAGATGGGAGGAGGAGGAAGTGTAGAAGGCAGAAGAGAAGGAAGAGAAAAAAGAAGAGGAGTAGGACGAGGAGGAGAAGTAGACGAAGAAGAAGAAGGAAGGAGGGAAAAGAGGAGGAGCCAAAGGATAATACCGGTCTTTAAAAGAGGAAGGGAGAAAGAAAGAGGGGGAAGAAGGGAAAGAAGGGGGGGGGGGAGGAGTCCTTGGGGGCGGTGGGAAAAGGGGGAGGGGAGGGGGGAGGGGAGGGGGAGGCTAAGAGGAAGGGGAGGAGGGGTAGGGAGAGGGAAGGGAGGGAGGGAAGGAAGGGGAGGGAAGTGGAGGGAGTGGGGGGAGGGAGGGAAGGAGAGGAGAGGAAGGGGAGGGAAGGGGAGGGGAGGGGAGGGGAGGGGAGGGAAGTGGGGGGGAGGGAGGGAAGGAGAGGAGAGGGAAGGGGAGGGGAGGGGAAGAGGAAGTGTTAGGAGGAAGGGGAAGGGAGGGGGGAGGAAGAGGAGGAGGAGGAGGAGGAGGAGGAGGGAAGGGGGAGATGGGAGGAGGAGGAAGTGTAGAAGGCAGAAGAGAAGGAAGAGAAAAAAGAAGAGGAGTAGGACGAGGAGGAGAAGTAGACGAAGAAGAAGAAGGAAGGAGGGAAAAGAGGAGGAGCCAAAGGATAATACCGGTCTTTAAAAGAGGAAGGGAGAAAGAAAGAGGGGAAAGAAGGGGGGGGGGAGTCCTTGGGGGCGGTGGGAAAAGGGGGAGGGGAGGGGGAGGCTAAGAGGAAGGGGAGGAGGGGTGGTGGGACAGGGGGGGGTATAAAGAAGGGAAGGGAGGGTAACGGGGCAATGCAGGGAGGGGAAACTTAGCAAGGGGGAGGGGGGGAGGGGGCGAAGAAGGGGGGGGGGGGGCAGGTAGATAAGAGGAGCTGAGGAGGAGGAGGGGAGGGAGGAGGAGGGGAGGGGAGGGGGAGGGGGGAGGAGGAGGAGGAGAGGGGGGAGGGGAGGGAAGGAGGAGGGGGAAAGGGTAGGAGGGGGGGAGGGAAGGAGGAGGAGGAGGAGGAGGAGAGGGGGGAGGGAGGAGGAGGAGGGGGGAGGGTAGGAGGAGGGGGGAGGGAAGGAGGAGGGGGAGGGAAGGAGGAGGAGGGGGGTGACGTTATCACGAGAACAACAGAGTTGGACGGGAGGTTTGGGGGGGGGGGGGAGAAGAGGATAAGAGGGTTGGGGGTTGGAGGGGTTGGAGGGGGGGCAGAAGGGGGGGGTGATGGGGGGGGGGGGGCGACGTAACGCGAGCCTTCCGAGGGCAACGCGACGCCTCATCAGCATCAGCATTGCAAACAGGCGAACCGACCGGGCCTGGGACTCAAGGGGGTGGGGGTGGGGGGGAAGGGGGAAGGGAGACCAGACTCTATGGAGGAGTGACAAAGGGATCAATTTCCCTCGCCCGGACGCCCGTGTTGGCATAACGTGCTTTCCGGGTAAAGCTGCCGGATGAGGGGATGGGGGGGGGGGGGGATACGGACGCGTACACGGGGGCAAACATGCTTACACACACACACACACACACACACACACACACACACACACACACACACACACACGCACGAGGATATAGAGATTTATAGATATAGAGACAGGGAAAGAAAGACGAAGAGTGAGAAAAAAAATAGAGACGGAGAAACACAAAATAAAACAGAAAGAGAGAGAGAGAGAGAGAGAGAGAGAGAGAGAGAGAGAGAGAGAGAGAGAGAGAGAGAGAGAGAGAGATAGGAAGAGTCCATACAAATAAATAACAAAACTAACTAAAACTAAATAAAATAAAATAATCAGGACTCTCCCAGCAGCTTCCTCGGCCGTTTGACAGCACGTCACACACACACAGACAAACAGACACAGACACTAGACACATATATACATAGGCACACAGACACAGACACTCATATAACAGACACACACGCAGCCGCTGGTCAGTGAGACAGACAGACAGACAGACGCAGACACTTTCCTACGGAGACAGAAAGACCCCATCGAACGAAAGTAAATAGAGAAACAAAAAATTAAAAGTAAAAAACAGAGCGAGTAAAAATTGGTCGGGAAAGGTACATAGGAATAAAAAGCGAAACACAAGAGGGAAAGGAGGAAATCACATGGAAAGAGACAAATGGACTCAGTGATGAACAATTAAGAAAATAAATAAATATAAAAAGAGAGAAGGGAAGGAAAGGAAAGGGAGAAAGAAAGAGAAAGAAAAAGAAGATAAAGAAGAAAGGGAGAAGGAGAAAGAGAGAGAGAGAGAGAGAGAGAGAGAGAGAGAGAGAGATACAAAAGAGAGAGAGAGAGATACAAAAGAGAGAGAGAGAGAGATACAAAGAGAGAGAGAGAGAGAGAGATACAAAAGAGAGAGAGAGAGAGAAAGAATTGAGAGAAAAGGGAATAACAGGACCTGCCCCCCTACCCCGCGCCTTCCCAGTCGTACCCCCTGACCCCGAGATCCTCCCCCCCCCATCTCCATC